AAACCAATGAATTATTGATAATCAATAACCTATTTAATCAATGTAATTGATAATTATAATAGATATTATGATGTTAAGACGTTTTAATTTTTAATTTTTTTCCTTTGAAAAAAAAAAAAACATATCCAAATAAAATAATGCGTAACTCCAACTCTACTGTCGCTAGGGCCCAGCATGCATTGCCTAGCACTCAAAGCGCCGCCTAAGAATTTTTTTTTTTTGGGGTTAATGCCATCTATTGTCCCTCTACTATCAAAAATAGTGCAATCTAAATCTTCTACTATGGATTGGCTCCATGTCATCCCTCTACTATTAATTAACTCCACCTATCGTTCCTCTATAATTCAAAAACATGCAAATGTCGTCCCTCCATCCAATGTAAGTTGGCGGTCCTGTTTATAGACCATTAAGTGCAAATGATCACACTCAGTGAGGCCTTTTTTTATTCTTATTTTTTTGCCACCTTACCTTGTGGGCTCCATGCTTGCCACATCATCTCTCGTAGTGTTTAGGAAATCCCCAAATCACTCTCTTTTCCCTAATTTCTTTCTTCCTTTCGAAACGCATCTGAATCCCTAAATCCAAATTCCCAAAATCAAAAATATGGGTTTCTTCCTTTCTTTCGAAACCCAAATCAAAAATCCCTAAATCTTTTCCCCAATTTCTTTCTTCACTTTGAAACCCATATGAATCCCTAAATCAAAATTCTGAAAATCAAAAATCTAGGTTTCTTCCTTTCTTTCGAAACCCAGATAAAAAATCCCTAATCTTTCCCCCAATTTCTTTCTTCCTTTCAAACCCCATCGTCTGAGAAGCATTTTGCCTAAATTGCTATATGAGAAACCATGATAAACCCTAGAAGAAATGTATAACTCCATCAATAATCAACGAGACTCATTAGGCATATTCAAGAAGTTTGGGTGCTGACAATGTCTTGGAAAGACGGTCAGGGTTTTGGTTCTCCATTTACGCCACAATCACGCTTCAGTTGTTAGCAAATTGGATTTTGCTACTGTAGTCTTCCATTAATAAGGAGAACTTCATTAACCCATTTTAATTATGGGTGAAGGTTTTGGGGTTACTCCAAATATCCAGTAAGTATTCTATACATTGTTTCTTAATTTGGTATGATTCTGGTGGGTGTATGATTTTTCTAGTGGCTTTATGAGTTTTACATAAAGATGATGCTAAACAATTCAATGGTATGAGCAATGTCTGGATGAAGAAAAACCATGGTGTGATTTTTTTGTTTGGTATGATGATGAATTTGATCCTCAGGCAAAGGAGTGGTTAACGCGTTGTTGGGACAAGGAGAAAAAAATGTTAGAGAAAGAGAAAACATTGATGATTGAGGTTCTTGAGGTGAAAAAAGAGAATCTGGATTTGCATAGGGAACTTCATGTGTTGAAAAATTCATATTTTGAACAGGGAAAAAAGGTTGTTGCTTTTGAGAGGAGGTCTTTGGAAGTAAATTTTAGGTGTTTGAACTTTAGGAATTGTTTAGCTTTTGTTATATGTCTTATTGTTTATTGGTTCTTCTTCTTGGTGTAAATGTTTGGCATTAGGTAGATTGCTAGAAGTATTGCTGTACTGATGCTGTTGTCAAAATCAATAAATTGCCAATGTATTTTGCAATGTAAATGAAATGGCAAAGCTTTTTGGACCATTCTTGTTTCATGTGTAGCTATATCATAAACTGATATATTACTATTACATAAATTGGAAATGAAATCGCAAAACTTTTCTATATTTGCAGGAAAATAAATTGCATTGATATATTGCTATTACATAAATTGGGAATGAGATGACAAAGCTTTTCTACATTTGCA